TTAGGGCTGGCAGGGAGAGAACAGGTTTATGGGTGTCACCTGGCAGTGACAGCTTGGTCTGGGCATCACTCTGAGCATCTTTTGCACAGGTAACAGGGCCACCCACTTCCCACTGCTCCAGTGGAAGGTGCTTGATCTCTGCAAACCTCTCCATCTCTAAGCACAGCTTGACCAGGTTTCAGGCAGGGCTGTGAGATGTCGGTGCCTGTATCCCAAACCTCTTGCCCCATCCTAAGGTGAGACCAACTTCAGCATCTAATGATTCATCTAATTTTCAAGGACACACCTCTTTTCCCTGATCTATGTTGATTGAGCACTGACACTGCTTTGCAGCAGATGCACTCACTAAGCAGCTTTATTCCTCCAGCAGACCTGACAGAGCCGGGGTTATTTTGGCACTGATGAAGCAGGGAGGGTTGTTGTTTTTTATTTTTTTAATTATCTTTATTTTAAAAATTAATTATTTTAACATCTTTATCTTTTTATTCCTTCTCTTTTTTTACAGAGAGCTGATTAAAACACGTGCAGTCATACGATCTACGACCCTTTCCGTAAGGCACGTGTTCTCGCTTTGACCCTCTGAGTTTTCTCGTGAGCTTGTTTATCTTTAATATAATTGTTAACTCCTCTAACATTTATGGTATTTAATATATATGCAAAGGGCAGTCAGGGAGGATCAGAGTGCAATCACACGGGAAGAGCAGATGTAGCAATGTCCCCACACCCTTCAGGACTTCAAGACACCCGGGTTCCTTTTCCCCCTCTGCCCCTCTGATCTTGGCAAGGTCATTTCACTTATCTTTGCTCATCCCTGTACAGCGAGGCTGATGGTGGTGACCTCCTGTGTGGAGCAACTTTGCAGTTTACAGAAGGAAAAACGCAGTGAGGGGGGGGGAGAGATATCATCGTAATTAAGTGCAGGCAAGTCACACGGCGAAAAGGTGAACGAGGTTTTGGGTTGGGTTCATCTCAGGATGTCTCTGTGGAGTTGTCCACATGTGAAACAGACCCCTAGGGCTGCACTGTGGTGAGTGGAGATGGATTGACACAGTTCACAGAGTCCAGAGGGCCGATCCCTTTTCAAGAGCAGTTCTCAGGTTTAGGGTGGGCTGAATCACTCCCCAGACTGTACTTGCTAATTCTCCATTGACTCTGATGCGGGCTTAAGCATCTGCTTTGCCTTGAAATGTTGATACTGCAGACACCCAAACCTGAACTTTCACCTTGTCCTTCTCAGCTTTGCCTTTGCCCATTGCATTTTACTTGCACACTTGTGGCCAAGGATTCAGCTCCTTCCTGAGACACTATCTCTTCTCGTTTGAGTTTCTAGTTCTTAATTGGCTTGTTGTTCATGGCTGTGTGCTGGTTGGACCTTTTTGGTCCTCTGTCTTCCCTCCTCCCTGCAGAAATCCTTTGAGGGACATTGGCAGCAGAAGATCCCCTCTGCAGAAGCCCCCTGGCTGCAGAGAACAGGGGGTGCTGGTTGGTCTCTACTCGGAGGTTCCTCACACTAAACCCAGTTCCTGCAATGTTCTTTTTTGGGAACTGACCACTGACCCACTCTGGCCAGGACAGAGAACTTAAATTTAGCTCCTTAAGGCATTAATAAATCAGTCTGTGCACAACTGAATTTGTCTTGTGCCAGAGGAGTGGGGCATTTCTAAACTGATTTCATGAATCTCTTTTGATCCCATATCAGCTAACTTGTGCTGCAGGGCTGGGTGCTTTTCACTGTTTTTCTTCAACTATATAAAGAACTCCTTCTCTGAAAGGTCATCATTTAACTCATCCCAATCTTCAGAAGAGAGACTTTCATAATCTTCTTCAACTCCTAAAGCTTTTCTGCTCCTGTTCATTTTTTCAGGAGCCTCCTGGCCTGGATCAAAGGCATCCTGATGAAAGGTTTCAAAAGCACAGCTGGTGGACATGTATGTTAAGGGAAAATTGTCTTCCTGTGTAGAGGGATGCTTGTTTGTTGAGCCTTCAGCACTGAGACCCAATCCAAACATTTCTTCTGCTGCCTTGGGAGCCTGGCACTGTGGATCCAGCTGCTGCAGCATTGCACAGCTCTGAATCCCTTCCAGTTCTCTAATATTAATCTCATCCTGACCATCAAGAAGTGAGAGACTGGAGGTGTCCCACAGCTCCAGTGGGGCATTTGTCTCTGCTGGGATTTCCTGGAGTAATTCCGAAGTGTTTGGATCAAAGAAAGGAGGATTTTCTGCCTCTGAGTTTTGCAAGTCTGAATTTAGGGTTTTACTTGCTATGCTGGAAAAATCTTGTCCTCCAGAAAAGAACAAGTTGTTGTCCTCCAGAAAACCCACGTTGCCAAACTGCAGCTCAGCTTTCTCGGATAATTTTTCTGAATCACCTGGTGAAAAAATTATCCCATCTTCTATCACTGTGTCCTGGACATCCAAACCCAACAGGTTCTGGGCTTCTGGTAGGTGAGCACCGTGATGATTTCCTACCCTGGTGGGATTTTTGCTGTTGTCAGCTGCAGGAGCAAGCTCTGGAGGAGGATGTAGAGGGTTTGTTCCACCCTCTGAGATTTCTGCAGCTTGTTTCTGATTTTCCTTTGCTGTTACGAGAGGGGGCCAACAGCTGTCCCACTGCTGCCAAACCTGGCTATTTAAAGACAGTTGGTCACCAATGTCAGGTTCAGTTTTCTCGTGTTCATCATCATGTGACCTGCTTGTGCCAGGAGCCAACAACAGGACGTCCGTCTCCTTGCCCTCAGCAGACTCTGAGAAACCTCCAGAGCTCTCCTGGATATGTTTAGGGAAGACCTCCATCTTTCCTGTCTGTGGCAGCTGATCACTCTTGGAGGCCTTTTGTTTTGCTTGGCTGGAGGAGCTGAGGAGGCCCTGGGGCTTTTCTGGCCTGTCGTCATCAACAGTTGTTTGCTCTGAGGATCCTCCTGCAGGTTTTCCTCGTGGGCTCTGCTTCTTCTCTGAGCAGTCACCAAACAGAGTGACAAGGGCTGACTGGGGCTTCATGGGTTTCCTTTGGGTTGTTGTTTCTTTCTTGGGAGCGCTGCCTTTGTCCTCAGACCCAAAAAGTATAACGAAGGGATTTTTCCTGAACCTGAAACCTTTCCCTGGTGTCTCTCTGCAGGCTTGAATGCTTCTGGCCTCCTTGCTCTGGGCACCACTCTGTGACGTAGGCACAGTGCTTTCCTCTGGGAGTTTCAGATCCGCTTTTTCCTCACCCCCTGGGTGGCCTCCGGGTTTGTCCAAGGATATATTTGGTTTGGAATATTCTGCTGTCTTGGCTGGTTGCTCAGAAATGT